TATATATGTGTGCGTGTGTGTGTGTGTGTGTGTGTGTGTGTGTAATATATATTCACACATGCATACACATGAAATAAATATTCTTGTAAAAAATAAAAATATAAATCCATCATGATGTGCTGGAGACTCTGTTCCACACTGTCCTGCCTCTCTGCACTCGACAGCCTTCAAATCATCTCCTATCTCAAAGCAAAAGCTTCAGGGAGGGAGAGCCCATTCCCGTGTTACTTGATTATCTCTAAGAAAAAATCAATCAAACAAAACTATCCCTTCATTTATCCATTCAGGTAAAATCTTTCCAGTTCCTGCAGAGGCAGGGTATTGTGTCATGGGTGCAGAGGGCTTCAAGGGAAGTTAAACATGTCTGTTTCTTAAGTACAATGCTTAAATTTTTATGCTTTATATGCCTTGAACTCTGGAGAGGAATGCCAAGGATAAAATCAGACCTGTAGTAGGTCTAGAGTATTTAACTTGAGCATGCATTAACCAAGTGAAAACAGAACCTATGGTTGAAATTTGTCCAGAAACCTTTATTTCAAACTGCACAACCTAAGTGTCCATGGCACAAAGCAGCAGCACAGCCCTGCTGTGTTCAGTTCCACTGGGGTAAGCTACTCAGGGCACCATGCCTCCCACATCCTCAGCTGGGGAATAACAGTCAGTCAATGGGAGGCAAGCTGGCCAAGAAGGGCCTCCAGACAGCACTGGAACAGTGTGGCCCACATCATGGTTTCTGTGTTTTGCTTGAAGGTCTATGAAGGTTATGGGCAAACTGAATGCACAGCTGGGTGTACCTTCACAACGCCAGGAGACTGGACCTCAGGTAGGACAGTTTGCACATATGGGGGTAAAGGGGGGTACACAAAATGACAGTCTGTGATCCACTCCAAATCAAAATTCCCAGCCTGCAAACTCCCTCCTGCAAATCAAATTTGCACAAGAACTTAGATAAAAATGCAAAAGAAACAGAAAAAATAATTAAGTGTCTATGTCTGGGTTGTAGGTCTTTGTTGTGATACTGTGGATATGATGTTTTCTTTGTTGCAAATTTTTGCACCTTCTTTTTTATTTTCCCTATTTTAAATTTTTTATTTGTAATTTAAAAATGCATTGATTTGCTTAATTTGTGTGTGTGTGTGTGTGTGTGTGTGTGTGTGTGTGTGTGTGCATACACGCCGTGGCACACATGTGGTAGTCAGACGACAACTTTCATGGGTTTGTTTTATCCTTCCATCATGTGGATTTCTGGATCAAACTCAGTTTTGTCAGGCTTGGCAGCAAGCATCTTTGCCCACTGATCTATCTCAAGAGCCAGTCTTGTATTCTGTCTAAATAAATAGAAGGTGTGCAAAATATAGATCACAAGATATAGCTCCAAGTGGTAAATACCTATAGTACTATCACGTTGAGTTTTACAGATTCTAGATAATCACACTGCCTTGTTTACAGTTGTTTTAGAACTGGTTTTAATAGAATGAAAAAAGTAGGCTATGAATTGAATGTGACTTATAACAGACAGCTCTCTTTTAAAAAAAAATTATGTGTAAGAGTGTTTTACCTTCCTGTACACAGAATAGAATGTTGGATCTCCTGGAACGAGGATAGTTAACTGCTGAGCCATCTCTCCAGCTCCTCTGAGGACTCTTTCTTAAAGATGGGCCTCCTGCAATGTATCCAGAGGGCGGTGGCAATCTCAAAAGGAGGTTCATGCACATTCTCATTGTGAGGAGATTCCTCCTCCTAAGCAGACAGAAGTAGGTCTGTAGTAGTTAGCCCTTGGGTCATCCATTGGCACTGGTCAAACTTGGACAGCACTCAGCAGGAGAATTCGTTAGGACTCTCCTCTCTGGGGACACTGTTTGTGCTTACATTTGCTCAAATAAAAACTGGAAAATTCAGAATGATGCGCATGCAAAAATAATGCTAGTTAATGCAATAGTATTTCACAGCATCTTGAAACATAATAGGTAGACTAAAAATGGAAACTGCTTTTGACTTAGCCAGATAAGGAATGTTTTGTTTTGTTTTGTTTTGTTTTGTTTTGATTAATGAGCTCTGTCTCATTACACACAAACTGGGTAAAGACTGCTTCCTATATAAACTCTTTGATCACTTCCTGCTGCCAGATATTTTTCAGGAACCATCTTTAGAAGTCATGTTCACTAATTTTAAAAAGTATTCAAGACCAGGTAGTGGCACACGCCTTTAATCCCAGCACTCAGGAGGCAGAGGCAGGCAGATCTCTGTGAGTTCAACACTAGCCTGGTCTACAAAGTGAGTTCCAGGACAGGCTCCAAAGCTACACAGGGAAACCCTGTCTTGAACCCCCCAAAAAAGTATTCAAATATTTATTTTTAATTATGTGTATGTGGGAGGTAGGGTATGTGCACTCACATGCACATACTCATGGGGACCAGAAGAGGACATCAGATACCCTGAAGCAAAAGTTTCAGGTGGCACACACCTTTAATCCTAGTGCTTTGGAGACAGAAGCAGTCAGATCTCTGTGAGTTCAAGGCCAGCCTGGTCTACAAAGCGAGTTCCAGGACAGCCAGGACTGTTACACAGAAAAACTCTGTCTCAAAAAACAATGTTTCAGGTGGTTGTGAGCTGCCCAACATGGATTATGGATGTTGGAAACCAAATTCTTCTCTGTAGGAGCAGTAAGCCCTCTTAACTGCCAAGCCAGCTCTTCAGCACCTAGCTTTTTTTTTTTCTCATTGTGTTCATCATACTGAACCATCATTCCACAAATTCCATTCTTTTTTGGGCACTTTCATTCTTACCTTTTAAAAGTATTTATTTATTTATTTATTTATTTATTTATTTATTTATTTGTGGAAGAGTGTATTCATGTCGTGGTGCACATGTGGACATCAGAAAGAGTCCATTTTGTCCACCATGTAGCTTCTGGGGATTAAACTTCGGTCACTCGGCTTAGTGGCAAGCCTCTTTCCCCACTGAGCCCGCTTTGACCCCACTTACCTTGGATGCCATCCTTAACATTTTCCCATTTAAAACTGTTGACTTTTTATTCATCCCTACTAGAAAACCTTGGTGTCTGGGTGTGAGAAGACTGATGTCTCTTTGTATAGTATCATAACAGGTTTGGCAATGTGTCATCTAAAAGAGAAACCCTATTGCCACAGCCTTCTTTTTCATACCCGTGGCACACCGGGTTTCAGGACCTTGGCCAGCGCCTTTTAACAGTCTTTGGCAAAAGTGTGCAGACCTTTTTAGTCATTTAGTGAATGACTAAATAAGATCTTGTGGCTGGAATTTATAAGACCAACAAAATTTGGAATTTGATTTTTTTTCCCAGGGATGAGTAGCTTAGTCCTGCTTTTTTTTTCTTTTTTTGTTCCTTGCTTACCTAAATGTAATGTTAAATCCAACAGCATCAGTATTGCCTAGGTGCCTGAAGAAACACAGACCCTTATGCCTCATCCCAGACCCGAGTCCAGATCTTTGGTGTAACGAGATTTCCAAGTTATCTTCATATGTACCAATCAACAGCCTTACTAGGAGAAAAGACTTAGTTTATGACCCACAAGCAAAATATATGCTCTGATAGTGAGGGAAACATTTAGTTTGGGGATAAAGTCTCATGAAGCACATGCTAACCTCAGTCTCCTGATCCTCCAACATCTATCTCCTGGACTATGCTTTTGTAGGTGTGTACTACTATGCCCAGCTGGAATGTTTTGATGCAGGCACCATTGTAACACTTCCTAACCATATGAATAGTGGACGTGAGACTCCCACCTAACTCAGGCTCATGCTATGTAAATTATGCCTGTCTCACTCTGTAAGGACCAAATATAAGGACCAGTGAGATGGTTCAGCTGGTGAAGGTATATGCTGCCAAGCCTGATAATCCCCAGAACCCACATGGTGGAAAGAGAGAACTGACTCCTCCAAGCTATCCTCTGACCGCCACACATGTGCTGTGGTGCACTACTGCCCCACTCCCAACATAAAAAGCAACTAAACATGATTCCATGTTTCCAGGGAATAGACTTGAGAAGGATCTAGGAGCTCTTTGAAATGTGGAAAAATTAAGAACCAAATGTAAACCTGGCATGGTGGTGCCCTCCTATAATTGTAAGACTGGTAAGGTTGGCACTGGATCACAAGTTTGGGGCCAGCCTGGGCACTATAGCGAATTCCAAAACAAGCTGGGCTACACAGAGAACTCTGCCTCATAAACAGTCCTGTGTAATAAAAGAAATCACATGTAAAGGGAAGGGCAGTCTCTGCTTTCTCTGGAGTGTATTGTCCTTAGTTCCTCCCTTTACACCTGACCAGCTCCTGTGTAAAGGTGTGTTACTTGGGTCCCACAGCTCCCGGCTTTAACCTGCTTGGTGTTCTGTTTCCATTTTGCTTTGTCTTCGTTTTTGTTTTGTTAGAGGCAAGGTTTCATGTAGCTCAGGCTACCCTCTATCCAGCCAAGAATGACCTTGAGCTCCTGATACTCGCCCCCCACCCCATGCCTCTCAAGTTGTGGAATCATAGGCATGCTCCACCATGACAGGATGCTTGGCAATCTCATGGGGTGTTGAACATCATCAGTGCAGAATCACTGACAAGTGTCATCTTGTTCCGGTATCCTAGGGCACGTAGGTGCACCTCTGCCTTGCAATCATATCAAGCTGGTCGATGCAGAGGAACTCAACTACTGGACCAGCAAAGGAGAGGGAGAGGTGAGCGTAAGATGTCATCTCTTATTTCTATGGGTGTCACATATAGCCAGTTGAAAGCAAAAACAGTGTGGGTGGAGCCATTTTCTCTGTACCTGTATGCAAAGCCATTTAAAGTTATCCATGTACTCCATTCAACCAAAGCCCAACCCTGGGACTGAGAGGATGGAATCAAGATTTTTAAAATCTCTGACCTTTAAAAAAAGCTCCCCTCAGACAAGATCGGGCACATTCAGGGAAAGCTCCTCTCGCCCAGTCCGCATAGAGGGATACTCTCTGAGCCAAGACCCTATCCCAAAGTATATGATAGACTCTAATGACCCCCTATGGAAGGCCTCACCCTCCCTGGGGAGCAAAAAGGATATGTGATAGGTAGGTAGGGTGTTAGTTGGGGGGGAATAAAGGAGGAGGGGAGGGAGTGCGAACTGGGATTGATATGTAAAACAATCCTAGTTTCTATTTCAAATAAAAAAATCTAAAAAACAGAAAGCTCCCCTCTCCCACATATACACCTGCTTGTGGCATGAGTTGCTGCAGTCTAACTTGTCTCATCAGAAACATGGCCATACTCAAATAGGCCAAATGAAGTGGCTGAGCTGGGCTGTTCTTGCTCAGCCCTAGGGAATAGGTGAAGATTGTCTACCCATAAAGCAGGGGGCCTGAGGAGCTCTGATTGGATTGGCCAGTCATCAGTATCTGTGGTGAGGTTCACAAAACAGCACAAGGGACTCCTGAGGGAGAAGAGGTAACAAATGAAGAAACGGTGGTCAGAGCAGGGGGGGGCACTGCTTCAGAGAAGGCAAGGGGCAGGTCAAAGGGCAGAGGCAGCAGAGGTGCACTTCATGCCCTCTGGTCTGTCACAGTCTCCACAATGGCCTTCCAATAGATGGACAGCACACTTGTGTTACAGAAGGTTTTTTTGTCCTGCCAGGTTCCACAGCCGCTTCTTCAGCCCCAAATAAATACACAGGGATGCTATATTAATTATAAAATTGTTGGCTGATGACTCGGGTTTCTTATTAACCCATTTCTATAAATTACTTAAAATTATTAACCCATTTCTATAAATCTATATATTTCCACATGGTCTTGGCTTACCAGAGAATACCTGGACCTGTCACTCATTTGGCATTCTACATGGTGACTGTTTTGGTGGGCTCCCTCTGCCTACATTTCCCAGAATTCTCCTCATCCTAGTCCCACCTATTTTCGTGCCTCATTGGCCAGACAGTGTTTTATTCATCAACCAATAAGAGAAACATATACACAGAAGGACATCCCCCATCACACTTGTTTTCATGCCTGGTGACTGTTGTGTTGAGCAGTGTTGGATCCCTTATGTCATGAGTGAGCAAAGCCATGGTATTTGACCCCACAGATATGTGTGAAAGGACCAAATGTGTTCAAAGGCTACCTAAAAGATGAGGACAGGACCAAGGAGGCCCTGGACAGCGACGGCTGGCTTCACACTGGAGACATTGGGAAATGGCTGCCGGTATGTAGATTTGGAGGCTGGTGTTCCACGTGTCAGTGATGAATGGGTGTGAGCTCCAGGTCACTGAGGGGGCACCTCTCCATCTGCAACCCAAACTTGTCCTGTCTCTTGATTCTGTTGCACCAATGAAAGTGACTTGTGTGGAGGACAGAACTTGGGCCTTAAAACCAACTTCCTATACTTTGTGGATTCCAGGAAAGGTTTTACTAGTATGTGGAGCCCAGTGGTAAATAGAAGGAGGTGCATTTCTTAAGCAGATCTGAGAAAACCAGAGTCGTAGGGTTTTATGGCTGTGAAGAGACACTGTGATCATGGAAACTCCTATGAAGAAAAACATTTAACTGGGGCTGGCTTACAGTTCAGAGGTTTAGTCCATTGTAGTCATAGTAGAAGCATGGTGGCACATAGGCAGATATGGTGCTGGAGAGGTAGCTGAGAATTCTACATCCTGACTGGCAGGCAGCAGGAAGAGAGAGTGCCACTGGGCCTGGCTTGGACTTATGAAACCTCAAAGCTCATCCCCATTGATACACTTCCTCCAACAAGGCTACACCTACTCCAACAAGGCCCCAAGTCCCAACAGTGCCACTCCCTATGCACATTTGGGGCCATTTTTCATTCATAATGCTATAGCCAGGAACACTGACTCCAGCTGAGAGGTTGGCATCTGGAAACGGGAAAACCTTAGAATTGGTGAGTAAGTGATGCTTTACTTCTTTTAGCTCTGCTGGAAGTTGTTTTTGTCACCCTGAACAAAGTCACACTTCTCTTTTGGGCCACACCCTGGCCCATTTGTAGAAACTGAATCTTCATAGCATTCTTTGGCTATGGCTCCAAGATTTTAGCCCAAACCAATTTGGGCTAACCATTCTCTCATTTTAAAATGGCATTATTTATGTATTCTGTGTACCTGTGTGCTTGTGTGTGGGTGTTCACCCCGTGGTGATCAAGAGGTCAGAGGACAGCTTGCATGCTTTGATTCTCCTTCTACCATGAGATTCTCAGGTCCTAAGCCTTGGCAGCAAGTGCCTTTACCCACTGAGACATCTTTCTGGCCCACATTCCCTTATTTTAAAAATGAGGATAATAACATTGTTTGCCTCTACAGTCATTGTCTCAAGGAACAAATGAGATCATGGCTACAAAGCACTAGCACCTGGCATGCATCAGACATCTACACAGATCCTTTAAGGAAAACAAATGCTGTTGCCAACACCCAGAGCCCTTGCCTAGTGTCACTCAGCCAGGGGACCTCTTCTGTGTGTCTAGAAAGTTGCTGCTGTTTGTTCAGAATCTGAGGTATTGAGTTTATCAGATACATGAGTGATACTGAGCCCTCCCACAGGCTCTAGGGTAGGGCCAGGTGAGCCAGTCTACCTCTTCTTGGGCCTGTGTACTTGCCTTTGAGAAACCCTTGTGCCTGTGGCAGACAAGGACAAGTCTCCGGTGTGTTCCCTGGAACAGGGACTCTGCTAAAGGAAGACATACATTTTTATTTTTATTTTTATTTTTGGTGTGAGTAGGGTTGAGGGGACAAGCACCAGGAAGAAGCAGAGGACAGATACTCACTAGACCTGATTCTCAGGCCTTGCAAGAGAACAAGAGAGAGTAGAAGGGACAGTCAGGCCAGTATCAGTAGACAATCAGCTCCAACTGAATGCCAACAGATGTGTAGGAGAGAGACCAGAAAGCACTATGGGGCATGGATACCTGTGGAGGGACAGTTGTCCCATAAGTCAAGAAAGATTGAGACTCAAGGCCCTGCACTTGCAACTTTCAAGGCCCTGCAATCAATGTTATTATTTTATGTTTTTATGTATTGATGACGGTGTTGATGGTAATAGGTTTTTATGAGATGGTCTTTCTGTATAGTCCTATGTATAGCCCCAGCTGGCCTCAAATGTGCTGTCATCCTCCTGCCTCAACCTCCCAATTGTTGGGATTGCAGGTATGTACCATAAAGCCTGGTTTCTGTATTATATCTTTTCATAAAGAAAGGGTCTCTGAGCCATAAGCACTCAGAGCTGAAGCACTGAACTTGAATGAAGCCTCCTACCATTCAGGGCCTAGTGAGAAGTGAGCCATAAATAAATAAATAAATAAATAAATAAATAAATAAATAAATTCTTGTGAAGTAGCTGGTATACTCAGACAGAGGAAAATCAAAAGCTGCCAGCAGCCCATGGAGTCAGTATCAAAAGTCATCACAATTTCTAAATAAGGGCCGAATTTTAATTGGAATTGTTTTTACATTTGAAATAAGTGTTTATTCTTTTCATGTCTCTCATGTCAAACCAATTGTGCATTCAGGTTTAACCTCATCTTAGCTATGGTGTGATTTTCTTGAACACAATTTTCCTATACATTGCGTTTGGCCTTTTTTGTTTCTACTCATAAACAAGACCAATCTGTAATTTTTCTTTTAAAATACAACTCTGATTTTGGTGTCAGCTTATTTGAATTAATGGATGAGTGATGTTTTTGTCATTTTTCCCATTTTCTGGAAGACCATGTGCAAGGCTTCAATGATTGTGTTTAAGAGATTTTTTTTTGCTTTAAAAATTATTATTTTATAGTAACAGATGAAAGAGAAAACATAGTTCTCTAATCCAGAAAGTCCTGGCTCTCAACTCTGAGTCCTCTGTTATCTAGCTGTGTGGCTGTTGGAGGAGATGACTAATGTGTCTGACCCTCATTTTTCCTCATTAGAGGAACAGAGGTGACAACATAGCTGGCTGTTGCTATGAAGACCAAAGAGGCTAATGTAAGGGAGGCGTAGGAGATCCAGCCCTGGTGTTGGGAAACACAGGCCTGGTTTCTTCTCTCTTGCAAGACTGCTCTGGCCCTGGAGGATCAAATAGGTGGAGTAGGGATGGAGGGTATGCAGGAGTCTGTCAGGCGTAGTTTCCTTGGGAGGAGGAGGAAGAGATGGATGAGAGAGGAGTCTGTGAGTGAGGATTGATGGGCCTGAGCCAAGAGAGAGAGGTGAGGCAAACAGGGATGCCCATCCCCAGGCTGGGTCAGACTTGAGAAGAATGATCTCCAGGAGTCTCATTCTGGGTGAGCTCTGTTCTAGGTGGACAGATCTGGGCAGACAGCCCAATGGGAGTCAGAGACCAGTGGTGAGATCTGGGAGCCAATGAAGAGATCTAGCAACTTGGGCATATGAAAATGGTTATCCCCACTGTGCTGTTCTCAGAGATAATGAAAAGTACAACGTGTGCTACTTAATCACCCCAGGAACTCAAAAAGGTCCCGGGTCAGTGAAGTGAATAGGATCCTGGAGGCTGCTGGCCCCAGCACACACTCCCTATCCTCTATGCCAGTGGACACTGGAGAGACCAGGGCTTCCAACACCATCTGGTAGCTAGGTGGAAGCCACGGGCTCTCTGAGGAAACTGCTATCCACCAGGAAATGGCAAGGGAACTCTTTGGCTGAGGCAGTAGCTGGGGCAATAGACCCTACTGAGGTCAAAGAGAATGAACCTGGAGTTGTTGGTGAGGGAAGGTGCAACTGGAAGATTGGCCTGGGCAAGAGGAGCCCTGATGGGGCAGACAGGGATCTGAGCAGGGGCAGATAAATGCCTGCTTCCGGAGTGAGGGTAGCTGGGGAAGCAGAGGGGCCTGGTGAGGCTGATCCAGAAGAAAGGATGGCAGATGCTCAGGGCCCAGCAGAACTGGCATGTCACCCACCTGGGGTGGGCGATGGTTTCCTCAAGCCCCATACAACATCTCTGTAAATACAGAGCAGAGCAGCTTGTGCTGGGGTATACAGGGTAAGTCTGCACTGAGGAAGTGGGGGTCCAGCTTGGAAATGGGAGTGCTGTCTTAGGACACTGTCTGTTTGACTCTACAGGAGGGAACACTTAAAATCATCGATCGCAAAAAGCACATATTTAAACTTGCTCAGGGGGAGTATGTTGCACCTGAGAAGATTGAGAACATCTACATTCGGAGTGAGCCTGTAGCGCAAATCTATGTCCATGGGGACAGCTTAAAGGTGAGCAATGGTGCTCCAGGCCTCCTGCACATCCTGGCCTGCTGAAAACTCCAGATTAGAGTGTGATTTCTAGTTAACCACCAGTATTCACCCATTCATTTCAGGTCAAGAGGGAAAAAAATCCTTTCCAAAAGAGAAATTGTGGGGCTTGGGACTCTAGCTCACTGGGCAGAGTGCTTGCCTGGCATGCAGGAAGTCCTGGGTTCTGTGCCCAGCACCACTTAAAACCAGATGTGGAGGTACATCTAGGGGCAAAGGCAAAGTGATCATGAGTTTGAGGCCAGCCTCAGCCTCAAAGCAAAAATCCAGAAAAAAAATCTTGATTACTTAGGGTTTGGTTAATTGAAGTTAGGGCAAATGAGTTGCTTGATGGCATAGAGGTAAACATTTCTACTAATTTTAACGTATGTTCACTAACTTCCAAGTAGGGGATGATTTCTTGAGGCAAGATATTAAAATTTCAGTATTTTGCGCCTCTCTCTCTCTCTCTCTCTCTCTCTCTCTCTCTCTCTCTGTGTGTGTGTGTGTGTGTGTGTGTGTGTTGCTGTGGGTTGAACTCAGGGCCTTTCTGCATGCTAACCAGGTACTATATTACTGAGTTATGCCACCCTCTAAGCCCTGCTATGAAAATAAATTGTACAGGTAAATTGGTATAGTAATACAAGGAACAATACCAATGATAATATCATTTATTAGTATTAAAATGTTTCCTGTCACTATCACTTAGATCACAAAAGAACCAAAAACATTTTCTATGGTATCAGAGTTATTTACTCTATTCTACCCTATGCATTTACTTATGATATTAAACCTTAAATCACTTTTAAAGAGTAACCAGAAAATTTAAAATAGTTCTTTGAAAATAATTTTGAAGTAGTTCAGAGGTTCTGGGAAATGTTTTTTGGCTCACAGAATTTGGATCAAAGTTGTTTGATTAACATCCACCAAGATGTGCAGATCTGAGATTGATATGAAAATCAAGGGGATATATTAAAATTGTGTGTGTGTGTGTGTGTGTGTGTGTGTGTGTGTGTGTGTGTGTGTGTGTGCATCTGTCTGTCTGTGGGAGCTGTGTACACATTAGTGCAGTGAGGCCACTGTGTCCAGTGTGTCTTTAATTTTTGGCTTTTGAACCCAGGCCTCAGGCATGCTAATCAGATGGTTAGCCACTGGAGCAGCCCTTTGTCAAATCAGAAGTGATCAGCCAGGACTGTGTGGCACCCTGGTAGAAGTGTTTTATAACCTCTGAACAAATGTTTCATAACGGAAGACTTATTTTTAGGAAAGGGTGGAGTCTGAGAATACCAAGAGATTATTTTTAATGCTGGACCACAAATGAGAACTCTAAAGGCCTGTGTCATGACTGTGTTTTCTGGTGGGCTTTGTAGGCCTTTTTGGTTGGTATTGTGGTGCCTGACCCTGAAGTCATGCCTGCCTGGGCTCAGAAGAAAGGAATCGAAGGAACCTATCAGGAGCTTTGCGCAAATAAGGTGTGTACTCCCAGGTGCTTCCTGAGCATTTTATGAGTCACATAACAAAGGGACAGAAAAGCTGACAATGGTGAAATCTAGATGCATACAGTGTGTCTGGTATTACTTTACACATGGTAGGAACCCTAAACCAGAGATTTGTCTTTTTGTAGTTGCTGGAGTTATTCCTCTTTACTCTTTAGAAATTGAGTAAACCATTGGATACTTAGGTCCAGGAGCCATCACACAAAGTTTATCTAGTCCCATGGCTTGAAAGGGTGAAGTCTAAGAGAAAATGATTTGTCCCCGACCACACAGATTGTTCACAGCAGGGTCAGATATGAACACAGGCTTTCTGACCCTTGCCAAGAGAAGGTGAGTCTCATGTGCACTGGGTTAAGAGGTAGTAATAAAATGAAAACAGTAACACAGCTCTTCCCGCTTAGAGCAACTGTCTTGTGGCATATGTCTAGGGAGCATGTTGTTCTGTGCTTCAGCAGCAGACATAGGCTGGCATCTCGGGTTCCACTTTCCCTTGCTAAGTCCTGGGCTTGCATAGGGGTGGCAGCACTGCCAGGCTGACCAACAGAACACCTAAAATAAAGCATGCCCTAATCCATTCACAGTGACCTCTTTGGCCATTTGCATCTCTTTCTCTCCTGGTGAGAGATAGTAATTAGCAATGGCACCAGGTTACCCTCAATAAGGACGGGACTGAGAGAGCATGTGTCTGCTCTGTCACTGGTCAACCTTAATTCAAAACCTTATTCCTTCTATCCCCATTTTGAAATGTGTTCTTACTGTTTTGCTTTCATGGTTCAATTCAGGAGTTGAAGAAAGCCATTCTGGATGACATGGTGAGGTTGGGGAAAGAAAGCGGACTCTATTCTTTTGAACAGGTAACTGACCTTTCCCTCACTCATTCTATCCCTTTTCATAGTAGCATGGTGACCCCGACCTCCTTTGTGATGTGGCTATCTAGAAGGCTATATGCCAACAGACCCCCAAAGGCCTCTTTCAAAGCAACTGCAACTGTCTACTCCTAAACTAAAATAGGTCACTGGACAAGTGAGACTGTGCTTGTTGCCCTTATAACAGCAGGCGATCATAAGGCTGAAATAGAAGCCTTGCTGTCACTGGTAGATCATGTGGGCCTGCTCAGGCTCCCAAGTGCCCTACCTTATTTTTACTTTTATGGGCACTGCCTTCTTGGCAGCTTACTTGCTAGGAGGATACTATCGGCCCAGTGGACTTCTGCAAAGGAGGAGGAAACAAAGCACCCACAAAAAAAGGACACTCAGTTCCTCTTTGCCTTACTGTAGCTGGGCTCAGGGCTGAGCATGCTCAGTCCTACTTCATGTATCATCTGTGCTCTTGAGTAAAAGCCAAAGAGAAAATGGTTCAAGCAGAAAATAATAATATGCTGATAGAAATGTTTATCCTTTGCATTTCTAAAGATTTGTCTTTCATAAAGTCAGCATTTTATAATGGGGGGGGCAGCAACAGTGAGATGACCCAGCAAGTAAAGGTGCTCATTGCCATACCAGATGACCTGAGTTCAGCCCATGAGTCCCATATGATGGAAGGAGAGAAGTAACTCCTGAAAGTTGACCTCTGAACTCCACATGCTTCTGCATCTTCATGTATACAGAGAGATAGACAGAGAGAAAGAGAGATAGTCAGAGACAAAGAGAGAGAGACACATAGACAGAAATGTAACAAAAATTTTTCAAGAAATGCTTTTCACCAGGCATGGTGGGCACACCTATAATCCTAGCATGTGGGAGGCAAAGGCAAGCAGATTCTGTGAGTTCAAGGTCAGCCTGGTGTATGTAGGAAGTTCCAGGATAGCCAGGGCTCTGTAGAGAGACCCTGGCTCAAAAACAAGCAAACAAATGTTTTTCCATTTAAAAAGTCCCCAAAATATGGTGAGGGATATACAAGGCTTATAATAATTTTAAAATTTTGTTTGCTGATTTGATGATAGCTTAGAACTATTTTAAAATTTGTTTTAAATATAAAATTCTTATGTTCAATCTGAAATTAAAATATATCTATGTACAAAGATTTTTTAATCTCTTTTTTATTGTTGTTTTGCTTCATTTTGAACAGGGTTCATGCTACAGTGGTCACAGGGCAGGGCAGGCTGGCCTGCTCATTGCAGTCCTCCTGTCTCAGCCCCCCAGGTATTAGGATTACAGGCATGAGCTATGTACCATACCTAGCTATGGTTTTAATTTCTTAATTTCAAGCTAAAGAAATCTAAACTAGTTTCAGTGTTTGAGACTTTTTCTCTGGAAACAGATGTTTACATTAAACCAATTTGAGGAAACAAACTTTGATTCATTAGTAACTATTTTAGGACAGCTAAAGCTTGAATTTGAAGTGTCTGGTTGCTTCCTTTATTTTTCAATCTCCTAACTTGGTAGAACTTGCTTCGTTGTCTTTCCTTAATGGGGATCAGTGTGACTGGATCACATGTGGCCATGTGGTGCAGGAGCTGCCCCTGAGTGGTTCCAGACCTTGTAGTCTGGGGTGAGTTGAAGGATAGGCTGGGACTACACCTGGGACAACCTTGTGAATTCCTAAGGTCCACACGCCCTCTGTTGGTGCTCAGATGCATTACTTGCACCAGGACACAGAATGATAAAACCTGCATATTGGGGTGGGAGGGATTGAAATGATTGATGCATGTGTGTGTGTGTGTGTGTGTGTGAGAGAGAGAGAGAGAGAGAGAGAGAGAGGAAAGAGAGAGATTCTTGAGGTTATTTAAGAAGAAACATTCAATTAAATTCCAATGTTCTCCATTGTCTTTGGTTAGAGCGTTAATGAGAGGAGAGCGATCTTGACTTTCTGTTTGTCCTGTGCAGTTTCTGCTCTAATAATCTGCCCTCACCATGGTAACCTCAAATGCAGGAAAGCCATGTGGCATCCCAGAAGTCTTTAATTTTATTGCCAAACATGTTACCTCTTGGCTTTCTATGTTCTCATTCTCCTCACTGCTCTGTGTCATCCTCCCCAGCACGGTTAGCACGTAGCCTCTTAGCCTAGGCTGACCATAGCAAAACAAGTAGCAGGCCTCCTGCCCAGAGGAATGCGTTCTCCAGACATGGGCCCTCCTTCATAGCAGTTGTCCCAGTTGATCCACACTGCATGAGACCTTGTTTCAAACAAATGAACAAAAACAAAAAAAGTCATCCAGGGATGGTGGCCCACACTTACAATCCCAGGGCTAGGAGGTTAAGGCAGGGGGATCATAAATTCAAGACCAGTCTAGGCTATGTAGTGAGACTCTATCTAAAAGGTGAAAGAAAAGGGCAATTAAGGATTAGCTCAAAACACGAAGAATGACATAACTAACTCCAAAATTTAATTCATCCTATGTAAACTTTAGGAGTTCAGATTTGCTGAGCTGGGTTGATTGCACTGAACTTTGAATTAGAGAAAAAAAAAAAACGGTTTCACTGTGGCATAATTTCCAGAAATATGCAATTCTAGGAAATAGGTCAGCCATTAGTAATTTACAGGGGGCTTTGAAAGATGTGCATTTTACTAAGTAGGCAAGTTACACTTAAAATATTTTATCAACAATTAAATTATGTAGATGACTAGTGGATATTTGAGCACATTTAATTGTGATTTAATAATGTTCTTGGTATTTGTGTGCCTCACTAATTTGCATAGACAATACAAAATGAACTTTGACACAATAGATTTTTTTCAACTTCAAATCAGTGAACCTGTCCTTAGACATACCCTATTTCTTCTTATGGAAAGGGATAGTTGCTGAATCGATTTAGGGATGGATTTATTATTTTCTTGATTCATGGAAATGTTTTATTTTTCTTTCTGTCTTTCATCTTAAATTATTTGTGTTTATTGTCTATAAGCAACCTTGAGTTAATATCTTTGAAAAACTGAAAGTACTATGGTTCTTCAGACATATAGACATTTATGGTTTTTGTTGTTGTTGCTTCTTTGAAAAGTTTTTTGAGATTTTATATATTTTTGTTTTATATGTAAGGTGTTTTGCCTGTTTATATGTCCATGCACTATGTATGTGCAGTGTCCTCAGCAGCCAGAAGAGGGTGTAAGACCCTATAGAACTGGAGTTACAGACAGTTGTGAGCTGCCATGTAAGGCTAGTAATGGAACCTGGGTCCTCTGGAAGAGCAGCCAGTGCTCTTTTTTTTTTTTTTCCAGATTTTTTTTATTTGAATTAGAAACAAGATTGTTTTACATGTCAATCCCAGTTCCCTCTCCCTCCCCTCCTCCCCTACTACTTCCCCCCAACTAAAACCCTACCTATCACATATCCTTTTGCTCCCCAGGGAGGGTGAGGCCTTCCATAGGGGGGTCTTCAGAGTCTGTCATATCCTTTGGGATAGGGCCTAGGCCCACCCCAATGTGTCTTGGCTCAGGGAGTATCCCTCTATGTGGAATGGGCTCCCAAAGTCCACAACTTTGCTAGGGATAAGTACTGATCTACTACAGGAGGTCCCATGGATTTCCGAGGTCTCCTCACTGACATCCACGTTCCTGGGGTCTGGATCAGTCCCATGCTGGTTTCCCAGCTATGAGTCTGGGCACCAAGAGCTCCCAGTTGTTCAGGTCAGCTGTTTCTGTGGGTTTCACCAGCTTGGTCTGGAACCCCTTTGCTCATCACTCCTCCTCCTCTGCAACTGGATTCCAGTTCAGTTCTGTGATTAGTTGTGGTGTCTGCATCATCTTTGTAGATTCCAGACATTTCCCTAGTGCCTGATTTCTCTTTAAACCTAAAATGTCTCCCTCTATTATGGTATCTCCTTTCTATTCTTCCCCTGACTCAACCTTTCTGCTCCCTCATGTCCTCCTCACCCCTCCTCTTCTTCCCTTCTCATTCTCCTAGCTCCCTTCTCCTCCCCCATGCTCCCAATTTGCTCAGGAGATCTTGTCCCTTTCCCCTTCTCCAGGGGACCATGTATGTCTCTGTTAGGGTCCTTCTTGTTTACTAGCTTCTCTGGCAGTATGGATTGTAGGCTGATAATCCTTTACTCTGTCTAAAATCCACATATGAGTGAGTATATACCATGTTTGTCTTTTTGTGATTGGGTTACCTCGCTCAGAATGGTTTCTTCTAGTTCCATCCATTTGCCTGCAAATTTCAAGATTCCATTGTTTTTTTCTGCTGAATAATACTCCATTGTGTAAATGTACCACATTTTCTCTACCCATTCTTCAGTTGAGGGGCATCTAGGATGCTTCCAGGTTCTGGCTATTACAAATAGTGCTGCTATGAACATCGTTGAACAGATGTCCTTGTTGTATGAATGTGCTTCTTTTGTATACATGCCTAAGAGTGGGATTGTTGGATTTTTTGGTAGACTGATTCCCACTTTCCTGAGGAGTTGCCATACTGATTTCCAAAGTTGGACAGTGCTCTTAACCAAGATATTGTCTCTCCAGCTCCTGGAAAGTTCAAGTTCTTATGAAATGACATAAATGGAGAATTTGGAGGTATTGCATTCCAATGCAATATTTAAATGTTACAGTATTTTTAAGTGAAAGTTCTATAAATATCATTTCAATGACAAGTTTCAAGAAAGAAAGCTAATGTTAGACATTCTCTTTCTTATTTGTTCTATAAAATGTATTAAACG